CTTCGTTTGGAAACCTGCCGGTGTTGGCAGGGCTGGGGGCCTGCCTGCGGGCAGGAGGCGGTGGGTCCTCGGGGAGGGGGGCTTTGGCCGCGGGCGGAACGCGAGGCTTCGGGCTCTGCCCTGACCGCGAAACGGCGCCCGGCCTTCCCCCATAGCGCTGCCTTGGCTTGTCTCCTCCGCGGATGGGGGCAAGGTGCGTTTTGTTGCTTTACGTCGCGTCTGGACGTAGCTTGTGCGCGTATTTTTGCGGGCGAAGGGCAGGTTTGGAGGCCGGGTTAGGTTTTGCAACTGTTAATAGAACTTCAGAACTACAGTTACGAAGGCTGCCTGGGTAACTTGAAGCATTTTAAGCCTATATATTTACGATCTTGTTCAAGCACAAGCAGATAATAGAAAACTTAGCTTAATCTTCCAAGATGTTAATGCCAACATAGGAAACGGCATCAGCGGTTTTTACGTAAGGAGTATTAGGGGTGCTCATAGCTGGTGAGACCTGGGTGTCTTTGTTAACTAAATCATTCACATCATGTTTGATGATTTGTGTGTGTGTTTGTGATCTAAGCTTGTCATCTCAGTTTTTGAGGACATACATTTTGCTTTCAGATCTATGGTTCATCAGTGTTTCACATACTTTTCACAAAATGTCAAGTTTTGTAGAGCATAGGGAAATAAATGTCCTCTTTATTTTTCTGTTCATAAGAAGTAATTCATTTGTTTGCGTCTTAGGACAAAGAGACAGCTCAGCCTTGGACATTAAGTAATGAGAATGATTTCAGGTGTTTATATTTTTTTCTGGGGAAGAGTAATGAGCACCAAAGGCAGGAGACATTAACTGCCTGATTAGTGGAGGTGTATAAAAGGAGCTGAATTTTCTCCAGGAAGGGAAGATAGTCCTTTTACAAAATTTGGGGAACTAACCTATGATAATACATTCCGTAATTGTGTCAGTTTCTGAGAAAATTCAGAGATTCCTATGAAGAACAAGATCCCTTAAAATGGTGAAGTTGTGCGCCCAAGGCTTTGTGTTCCTTTGAAGACCTTGACTTGGCATTGTAAGTCTGTGCATTCATGGCAACATCTGGGTTTTTTCGGGGACGAGGGGGGGGCTGTGTTTTTAACACAAGCTAATTAGTAGCTCTTCCTAAAATATGTGATGTCTGCCAATGAGCTACCAGCAATTATGTATTTGATGATTCTTTGGAGCATTGTAAAAGAGAACATTGGAGCATTGCAACTTTATTGGACACCGTAATCTGATTTTCGTCTTCTAAAATATTGGTGGAGCAGTGTTGTGTCAGGATGTCACTAAAAGCTGTCTGTGTTTGGTTTTAGGTTGAATATCCTGTTGCGCCTCTTGCTGTCTTATTGGAGCACGGTGGAGCTTGCATGACCACATGTTGCCTGAGGTCTTCTCAGAAACTGTGTCATGAGGTTATCTTGCTGAGCAAAACTGTTACTTGATGCCTGTTAATAGAAGAGTATCAAATCGTTTTGTGACAGCACTTCATATGGGACTGTAGGTGTTCCTCTCACCAGCACATCATGGTAGATGTAACAGAGAAGAAGATGGATAATCCCACATTTAAAAGTGACACTGTACTTTCTGATGTTCACTTATACTGTCCAAACAAAAGACATCTCATGGTACGACTGAATGCAGTTGGACAACCAGGTAATGTATGTTTAGACTGATGGAGCTGTATTTTAAGTGTATTCATATGTTTGTAATGTCTGAATCCTCCTTTGAATGGTTGATATTAATCATTACATGTTTTATTCCAGTTAGAAGCAGAATCATTTCCTACTCAGTCTTCAGAAAGAGGGCTAGCTGGATTCTCCTCATAAAATTAACCACAGAAATGAAAGCTATTAATGTAGAATTTGTAGACAGCCTATCTTAAAAAAGAAACTTAAGATTACTTTCTGAGAAGTAGTAACAAAATTAACTTGCTTTCAGGTTTAATTTTATTTATTTATTTGTTCATTTGGCTATAATATCAATATCATATTTTGGGAATCACGTTAAAAAGTTGGGATGTTTCCTGCATACAAACAAAAGGTGAGAAGCCAGGGGTTTAAAACAGTGTAACTTAAGTTTAAAATAAAAATTATCAGTAATTAATTTAGGAATTTCTATAAAATCTTTATGTGATGATTTACCATCTATTCCAGAGGAGCCTAACAGCTTTGTTTGGGTTTTGGGAATTTCTTTGTTTTAAAAAAATTGGCAACAAGAAAGCTCAGAATAGCAATGGTTTTGACTGACTTATATAATTTGAAGAGTCAAGGCAGTAGTGGAAATGAATTGGCAGATGCCTCTGATTGCCAGCTTGTAGGTTTCTATAAAGTTGTCGAGGAAACTGGCCTTGAAGCTGCTGGTAAAATGTTCTGTAGAAAAGTACTGCTCCTGCTGTGACCGAAGCATTGTTTTCTCGAACCCAGTTGTGACATAAAAAGAATAACTTTTGCAGCTGTTCTAGCATATGACAATGTAAAAAATGATAAAAGTAGGCTTGACAAAGAAGTGGATAATAATTTTGACCCTGATCGGGTCAAAAACAGGTAATCAGTGCTGTAGTGTGTCTTCGTGCTGTTCAAGATCTGTTTGCTGTGATTTTGCTTGATGCAAAGAACCTTTCAACAGAATGAAATGACAGCATGTGCTACCTACTCTGAAGGTACTTGGTCTGGGAAATTCCTTCATTTATTAAGACAAGAATTGGATTGTAGTATGACAGCTTTTACTCTAACAAGTATGACAACTGTCTACCACTGTCACTTGCTGGTTTTTAGGGAACCTCATGGGGATTTAGTCTCTGCTGCTTTGGGTCAGTTTTACCTTACACCTCTTGAAACACAGTAGAACATGCAAAGGATCAGAATGGACTTGGAGAACAAAAGTTTCATTCATTGATGGCATCATCTAATTTGTTAAATATTCAAATCAGTTTAATCTGGTTGTCATGCAAACAGTAGATGACTAAAAATTTCTCATGCTAGGATAGACAACGAAGATATAAGAAACCATCCCTTTTGCCAGTTGTTAAAATAAGTGTTACTAAATCAGATGAAAGTGTGCATTGTGACTGCGTAGATGCTGAGTCAGCCAGTAGACTGTGAAAGTGTTTCATTTATTTCTACTGACAGAACTTAATAACAGAAATATTTCTTTGTAGCAAATTGAACTATATTTCAAGTTATCTGTATAATTTTTTATCCTCTAGATTTTTAATATGTGGAATGCATAACAAAATTTCATGTAGTGGAAGTTGCGCATAGATTCTGTTCTTACCTGGTGTTTAACTCCCCACCCCCGCTGTGTCCTTACAGTATTCCTGTCATATTTCAAACTCCTTTGGAACACAGAAGATTTGGTGTCTGAGAAACACATGAGAGAAGCTACAACAGAAAGAGAACACCAGTACAGAAGTGGCAATGAACTGTGTGACAAGGACAGGAATAATCTAAAAACAGAAAGAGAATTAAATAGTGAAGGAGTAGAAGCTCTGCTAGACGATGATGGAGACTTGGAAGTGGTCAGAAGACCTCGAAGTGCCTCTGATTTAGAGGCAGAGGATCTTTTGAGGGATAGAGTGTATCCTGTAGTTCTGATGAAAGGGAAAGAAGATGCTTTTGAAGATGAACAGCAAGAATGTACTTGCAGTGATGTTGTTAAAATAGGTAAATAGCAGGCTTACAGTCAAGGAGAAATGGAATAAATATGTTTGTGTAAAACAAAAAATACGTTTTCTTTAGAAATGGAACAGCAGTTGTTAAATGAAAGGAGATAATAAAACAAACGTAATACTGTGATATTGTAAATATTTAAAAAATATACCATTTTTGTCCAGAAGTGATTTGGGCAGTAGTATACTATGGGAAACTTGGTGGTCCTTAGCTAGAGTGGGGGTTTTGGCTTTACCTAGCATTATTATGTAGAATTAATAGTGTTTAGTTCTATATTTGAAAGGGAAGTGTGCCATGATTTTCAAATTTGCCACTATGGAACTTGATTTGAACAACATTTTGAGGTAATTATTTCTGCTCTACTTTCATTTTCACAGAACATACTATGGCAACCCCCTTAGAAGATGTCGGTAAACAAGTAAGTATTCTGCCTTGCAGTATCTTGCTGTTCACAGATTGTGCTTCAGAATTTACTCTGTTTTAAGTGCTTCTCTTATCCACAGGTCTGGCGTGCAGCCTTTCTTCTTGCTGATTACATTCTGTTTAAACGGGACACATTCAGGTGTTGCTCGGTGCTAGAGCTTGGAGGTGGCACTGGAATTACAAGCATTATCATGGGAACAATTGCCAAGAGAGTTTATTGCACAGGTAAGGCAGTTATTTTCAGTTAAATATTTTCATGAAACATCACAAAGCAGTGCTTTCATCCTGGCATTTTCATCCTCATCTATTCAGTTTTAGTTAATAACTTTTTTATTAGTGTATATAAAGTTGTGTTGTTTATTGAAAAATAACAAGAACTTTCTCAACAGATTGAAAAAGCTTTACTACTTTTAAGTGCAAGAGTTTAAAAGCAAGATGCATTGCTGTGAACTCAAGATAGTGTGCCTAGATTAAAACAGGTAGTATGGGGATCTAACTTCTTTCTTCAAGGGTGGCTCAGAGCTTAGTACTGAAAGACAAAAACAAGAAGGATACAAGGGAAGCAATCATCAGTGGATAGAGTTGCTCTGAATTTTCCTTAATCTCATCAATTTGAGAGAAACGGAGTATTAGTCTGACAGGTCAGGGGCATGCACAGCCCATGCAAAATATTCTTATTTTGAATATCATTATCACTTTTTCCAGATGTTGGTGAAGATCTTCTGGCCATGTGTAAGCAAAATGTTGTGTTAAACAAACACCTGATGGAGCCAGGAGGTAAGTGCTGTACAGTCATTGTTTGTGCAATTGCCTATATGAACTGCTTTGGGATTAAACAGCACAGTCATTGACTACCTAGCATATTCACAAGTAAAATTAAATTTTTGTCTTGGTTAGAAATTACTCATTTAAAAAGATAGATGTGAGATACCTATATGTAATGGGACAGCTTCCTTTTGAGAAGAGCAAAATACTTACTCTTTCTCTGATCATCATTTAAGACTAGCTGTAGTTCCTACACAGTCATTGTGTGAGTTTCACTGAGGTGCTTGGGAGGATCACAGATATCCAGGTGCTAAGGGTTGCATAAAGAGAGCGTAAATGGCAGAGGTAGAACTCTGGAAAGGAGCAGCATTTTGCAGGTGAGACTTGTGAAAGAGAACATAGGTTGCCTTTCTGACCCTTAAGTTCATCCTGTTCTCTTGTGAGTGGGTAACTGGCTTTGTACAGTAAATGATTTGATGTTCAATGTTACTTGTTTCATATGTCCTCATAATAGATCTTCATCACTTGTTTCAGTACAGATTTTGATCCTTTACTTTTGCTTAGGTACTGTCTGAAAGGCCATTTATAACTGATGTGATCTTTCTTCACCCACAGGAGGGGAAGTTAAAGTAAAGGAACTGGACTGGCTGAAAGATGAATTCTGCACTGGTAGGTGGTTATAATGGGTCCTTTCAGATAAGGTTTGGTGTTTTGTTTTGGGTTTTTTTTCCCCTTCATACCCATCAAGAAAAGCTTATTCCATTGTTTATGAAGTAAGCCCTCCAGCACATACACCTCTGGAAAAATAGTTGAAAGTACACGATTGTCTTTGGGTGCGTCATTGCCTTGTGAATGAATAAGGAAAGGTTTACTGATAGGTTGAGAATAGACGAGTGGTGGCTGTCCTTTACTTAGGTCAAAATCCAGAGGTGCAAACAAGATGTGTCTGTTACGTGATGATAATGGAATCCAGGCACAGTGACGTGGATTGGAGTTACTGTCGTCCAGATTTTGATATGATGGTATTGTGTGGCTTACGATTGCATGAATACAAAACTATAAAAGGTGGTGGGGAGGGTAGGTTATGATTTGCAGATGTATAAATACTTTTTCCAAATATAGTGGTGAATGTGTTATATTTTAAATATTTGCCAAGGGAATGTATTCTGCTGCTTTTAGCAGAATAAAGGCAACTAACTTGAGTAACACTCAAAGTGCAATTAATGATAGTAAAGTAGATCACTAAAACTTTCTTTCTAGTGATTGCACTAGGTTATATGAAGCCTACTTTATAGATTTTTATATCATCAGTTGGATTTGATGTAATGCTTATAAAAAATAGAACAACTATTTAAGCAAGCGGAAACATCCTTAACACATTCAGAAGCCTCTCTTGGACCTCAAAAAATTGTGGTTAATGAAAATACTTGATACTGTCAGTTGAAAAGGCTTTATGTTTTTAGACTTTCAGAGAAAGTTTCTATATTTTAAAAAAGTAAATTTTAAAAAGCATGGTGAAGTCGGAAGCTTAATCAAAACTTGTACGAAGATGCATGCATTTATTTATTTATTTATTTAAAGGATTATTTATTTTAATCTAGTTAAATCTGTGATCTTGCTACAGGGTAGTAATTGGTTGTAAATTCTAAAGTGAAAGAAAACTTACTCTTGCCAGTCAGGCTTGGGAGGATTGGACATAACGCAGAGAAAGCAAAGGACTGCAGGGAACTTGTGGGGTGCTCCGTTTATGGAGTAGCAGGTGACCACAGGAGTTAAGTTTCTTTTTTCCAGCTGTCAATCATTTGAGACATTTAATCATGTACACCAAAACCAAATTCTTTGTTACAGATCCTGAAGCTCCCTATAGCTGGTCTGAAGAAGAGATTGCTGATTTGCATAACCACTGTACTGTGATAATGGCAGCTGATGGTAGGAAAATATAAACAGTAAGCTTTTAAATCAAACACTTGAGCATTGTGAGTAATAATTTAAACATACCTAGTTTGCTTGTAAAATCTAGTAGGTGAGATCCTTACCTAATTTGTCAAAGCTCTGCCTTAAGTGTTCCTGCCTGTATTTTTTTTTTTTTTAAACAATTGTATTTACATTCTGAATTAGCAATAGGAGAACAGATGTTGAAAACTACTAGGTTTTTCTTTCCTTTGCTGTGGTAATTATTTGTTACTAAATATATTACTCACAGAACATAATCACAAGTGATGAATTTGACTTTCAGAAAAGTTGTTGTCCTAACTTTGTCTTGCATCAGACAACCTCCATGCAAGTAATGATAAATAGGTGGTTAGACTTATATATTCTATAATGTGAAAAACAGTTTCAGATGCTGCACTTGCCCATGGAGTCTATGCCTTCGGATATCTCTGTCTTGTTTTTTCCTGCTCCTTTTCTTGCTTAAGTGAAAGACTGAAACCTGACATGCTAGCTTATCTTTATAGGAGAACTATTGTTGTTTTGATAGATAAATAAAGGAGGATTGTTTTTCATTATGGTACTGAAAGGTGTTGCAAGACTGCTTTCTGAGGAGATACGGTCATGATAGTATATTAGTAACTGCCTTTTCTGTATTTGTGTAAGAAATGAGGCCCTATACATTGTGATGTCCTGTCTTTTTTAGCTTTGCAGTAAGATGTTTCCAGGCTGATAGAGATCTTGTAAAAGTTTTGTAAGTTGTCTGACAGAAGTGATTCCCATTGATAGAAGAGAAATCTTAAAGAAAGCCTGACATAAATAGCAGCAGTGGATACTATTACAGGGTCAGTTGTTGCCATTAAAAATATACTTCGGGATTTAGTTAAAATAGTGACTTGTTTGATTAGAATAATCGAACTAAGGCCTGTTGTTGTTTCATACCTGAGACTTAGGTAAATAATACACTTAGATATTTTATGCTCTTCATCTTTTTTTTTTTTGTAGTGTTCTATGATGATGACCTGACAGATGCCTTGTTCAGAATGCTGTATAGAATCACACACAACTTGAGAAATTCTTGCACAATTTACCTAGCATTAGAAAAGCGGTAAGTATTACCAAGAACTTTAAGTAAAAAGCACTACAAACTTTATGTACTTTCTTTATTTGGAAGAAACATCTGATTTGATTGAAGGTGAGCTTCTGATTTTCATTGTATGAGTTGATCACAGGCTGCAGTATATGCTCAAGACAAGCATTTGTTTTTATACATGCTTAATTTTCATCAGTTTGGAATTTGACTTCTGCAAGAGTTTGGCTTTTGTTGTCCTGCCTTTGTCTTGCATGAGATAATCTCTGTGCGAGTAAGGATAAATAGTTGGCTAGACTGATGTATTCTATAATGCCTGAAAACATTTGCTGGATGTTTTTGAGGTCACAGAGTGAAATGAAGGGGCTTAGAATTAGGGTGTATGTTTCCCAGCTTGAGTACCTCTATAACAATTTGTCTTGTGTTTTCTTTCAGGGAATCACTGAATGTTTTTAGTAGTCATGTGTTGCAGTCCATTCATAAACTAATACATAAATAGGCTTTGCTTAAATCTTTGGAGATATGTAAGCAATAGCTATTCATATGATTTGTTGCCAAGTGTTTCTCCAGGAAGCCAAGCCAATGATTCTGTTGTGGCAAAGTGCCTTAAAATCCATGGAAAGATTCATCCAAGAGTATTATTGTGTATTGACACTAACATAAGTCTTGCCTGCTTTTCAGGAATGGGGGAGGGTGTTGGGTGTTACTCCTTTTTTTTTTTTTTTTGCTATTGAAGTTAGTTAATTACACTGTGAAGACCCACATTTTCCATTAGCTGAGGAAGGTTACATAGCTATTTAAGATGCCAGTACAGGAGAGACATTTTAAATTAAAAATTCTCTTGCCAGGCTGAACTTCACTTTGAGACATATGGATGTTACATGTGAAGCCTACAGTCATTTTAGAAATACTCTAAGTGATTTGGAGAACCTCCAAGATAGAAAAATTAAATATACTGTGGAGCCCGTTAAGCTTGATTTCTGCCAGTTTCTCGTTTATGAACGAATTGAGCAGTTGGTAAGTAGCATTCATTAAAACGAATGTAATGTGTTGGGCTAATCATCTCAAATTAGTTTTCAGCTGTTTACTTAACATGAAGTAAGAACAGGAGAACAAACATTACCTTTTCATTTATTTCCATTTAGCTTTTTGTTGTTTTAAAATGATTCTTGTTTGTCCTTTCATAATCCATACTGGATTGACATAACATACCCTTTTCTGTCACCAGCAGTACAGTGACTTTGCACTCATTCCCTCAAAGGTTAAAAACCAGTCTCCATTACTTTGTAAAATACAGTTTTTGTGATTGACTAGAAAATGGGACCAATATCTCTTCTCATTTATTGGCTTGTCATTTCATAGTTTTAGTAATTCCTTTCCCAGTTCAGGGTTCAGGAAATAATGTTCTAATATCTATGAGGAAGTCAATTAGCTGTAAACCTCTGTAATTCAGAAACATGTCAGATATAATATTTGTAGTTATCTAATTACCTACCAAGCACTTACGGTTCTCTTTCTCTGTTTTTTTTTTCCAATTGTCTGCTCTTACAAATATGATGCAGTGTAGCTAATAGCTTGCTAGTTTCTAGAGCAATACAATCTAACAAATCTTTTTAGAGAACTTGCAAATCTTGTACTGGACTGCAAATCTGTTACCAAGAAATAATGTTCCTGTAGTCAACATACTATTGCTGTGTCTTCTGCAGTATGTATGCATAGTAAGGTTATGGGGGCCACAGTTACTTCATGAGATTGATTCATTTTACTTAATGCTGATACCTTCAGGCATAAAACATGTGTGCAAAATTTAAAACAAGTTTTCCAAGTACATAAATGTAACCTGGATTATACCTAAAAGTGTTAAACTCATTCCCTGGCCTTTTTGTGGAAGGCTACTGGTCTTTGAAATACGTGCCTTTTTAAAACACCTACGTTTGTTATTTATCATGAAGTATATTGCCATAATTCAAGATGTCATGGTGAAGAGTATGTGAGTCTGCTTAATCATCTTTTGTATAGTAGACAAAGTGTATACTAATTCATTCTACAGAAGTGGTCTGTTTTTCATCTTCATTGTCCAACAGATTGAGAAGGGTATGTGTGTTTGTATAAGATATGCATTTGTGAGACCTTGATTTCTCAGTAATTTAAGTATTTTTTCAGTTGTATTTTTACTAGCATTATTGAAAGCGTTTGTCAACACAGGCTAAGAAAAAGAGCAAGATTACCAGGCAAAATACTGCAGAAGGTCACGCAGACCAATGAAATTATTTTAGAACAAATTATTTGAATGATACTAATTTTTTATTTTAAAAAATCATGCAACAAGAATGAAGAAATCAATTCTATTGCTCTGTCTCAAAGACAATTTGGTGGTTGTTCTAGGAGATTACATAGATGGGTTTAGTATCTATAGGTGGAGTATAGGGTGTGTCTTAAAATTTGTCTTCAAGTGGGCATGTTGAACTTTTTCACAATTGCAACCTACTGATCTAATGCCTGTATCTATTTTTTCCACTCCTACAGGAATTGTGGAAGATCATTGCTGAACAGCTAACATGACAGGGACATGAGAAAATAGAAGATCTTTATCTAAGGATAAAAGCTTTTTTGTATTAAAAAAGGATTTTCATCCCAAGAAAAGCATTTTCCTGCTGGAACTGTGTTCTCAGAAAGTATTGCTATGCAGATTTGCTTTACTTCAGTAAGTTTTGGGTTTGGCACTTAGGTTTCTTTGATGTTTCTTTTACAAAACTGTTTAATATTGATCTTCAGAGTACATGCTGGGTGCCAAACAGTGGCAGTGACACAGTGACTTGCTCTTTGGGATTCACGACTTAGGTTTTAGTCTGACAAAGAGGTATTTAACCTTTTCCATGTGTCTGATTGGCAGATGTCATGCATTTTCCTTTACAATTTTCTGAACATGGACACTGTTCTTGGTCTCATCCCAGTTCCACATTATTTGTATTTATGGACATTTGTGAAACAGTGTTCTGGGCAAGACCTGTTTGTCTTTCATGGACTTTTCTTTAAGCAATCTGTTTACGAAACTTAATCCTTAATTTTCATTTTGTCCTATCTAAATTGTTCTAGTTTAGGGCTACTGTTGGAACTGAAAGGGAGACAAGATGCATTTTGTTTGAACCTCTAAAGGTTTTGGAGCTATATTGTCCTGCTGGAATTATAAGCTATTCTGTCCTTGCCAGGTTGAGGGTGGGAAGGTACCATGTGAAGTGATATGCTACTGCTCTTTAAATGTTTGGAATTCTGCCCTCAACGTATACGTGTGAGGCTGGGGAGGAGGGGGTGACAAAGAATGTCTTGCCCATATAAATGGAGCCTTCAGTATCTTAGCTTTTGGATTAAAGTACAACATATTGATCAAATCTCTCCTGTGTTATTAATGAAACCAAAAATCTGTTTGTACTTTCTAAAATTTTATGTGTACTGTTATGTTTATGTCACTTGCCATATGTACGCTGTCACGGAAGTTCTTGTGCCTGCTGGATACTTTAGCATTATGAGAGTATCGGTGATGAAGCTGTTCCGGCCTGTGACTCGTGGGAGTCTGCATACATTATATTAGAAGCATCTGTTTGACTTCTTGAAAGCCTGTTTTACATTTGGTTTAATTCAGTTGGTTTAGGTTAGTTATTTCATAACCTGCTTAGGTGTATGAAGACATATTTTCTTCATGTTCTTTAATGAGATGAAGGGTTATTAGATGATGATGGTCTTTTCTTGTGAGTATAGTTAAAGCAAAAATTTACATTATCTTAGCATATATCTGCCTAGATTAATACAGAACTTCTCTCTCAGAACCCTCATTTGAACTTCAAAGATATAAAACTGTATTTTAATCCAAAGATTTCCAAACTAGTGTTCTTTTGTTTGTTTGTTTTGCAATGCTATTAACTTTGGTAGATTAACTGAAAACAACTGGTTTTGAATGTAGCTGCTTATTTAAGTAGTAATTTTTTGCTACAGTCTTCAAAAAATTACTACTTAAATAAGCAGCTACATTCAAAACCAATTGCTTTCAGTTAATTTGAACTGATGTGAGATAGCATGTGCAGTTAGAGAAGATTTTTGTCTTGCACAGGACTTCCGAAAGTCTTTGGAATTATCAGCAGAAAGTCATCTGGGTAGAGGGATACTGTAGCTCTTTTAAATGTAGAAATCGGACATTTTACCACAGCTGACTTAAATTAACATCTGAAAAAGATTTTTATACTTGTATCTTTGGTTGAGTAAATACAAACATCATGGCTGCTTGGGAAGCAAGCTGAAGTAGGATTTCCTCCTAAGGAAACAAAGTTAATCTTTCTGTTGAAGGGAAGCAACAGCTTTGAGGGTTCAGTGGCAGAGATCTAAAGGCCAAATTGCAAATTTGGATGTGACCCTTTTGACTGGTGATAAGGAATAGTCAAAAGCAGGCAACAATTCTAAGACCACAAGAATCACAAGAGTCTCACAATGCCTTAGCTTTGCAGTCTTAATGAGAGATAATATAGCCTGTCTTGCCAGAGAATTGTCCGTTGCTACTTAAGGATATTAAGTACCTCCTCAATTTTTACTTTAATCGTACTTTGAAAGTGTCATACGTGGTAGTTGTTTTCAGAACTCACCATGCAAATTTACACCTTTAGCAGTTTGTTGTTTATTAAGATGATTAAAAGTGGGGAATTTAGTCTTGAGCATACAGGTTATGACTGGAAATCAAGTTAGTGCCTAAAATGCTAATGCCTTGAGCATATTATCTGTATGAAGGATTTTTTCCTAATAAAGCATGATTTAAAAAATAGTATGGTCCTGTGGTGATGTATCTAAATTTTGAAAAATTGTGACAGGTAATGTTCTTAGATTTTTTTTTTCAGTCCTGTGTTATTCCTGTTTTTTTAGCTGTGTGTTGGACAGAGTTTGCCATGACTTTTAGCCAGATGGAAAGGAGAGAAAATATGATTGTGAGGGGGAGATGTTGTTAGTACGTATACAACAGTCCCATATAAATTTGTTTGAGTCTTTCAATTCATACAACTTACAGGAAAGTCAAGTGATTCAACATCAGGTTGGATGGATGGTCTTGGACTTGTGAGCTACTGGGAAAGAGTTTGCATATTTCATTGTAAAACCCTTAAGAACTCAGCTGGCCTATTCATGTGGTTCTGTTTGATCACCTCATAGCTAGTAGGGAAAAAGGGGGAATTAGTAAGTGTTTCTAGTCAGTATTGCCCATTCCTGCAAGTCCTTTATTTCTGTGAAGGGGAAAGAAGACAAGGTAGATGCTTAATCTAAAGTTTATTAATGTCTGTACTCTGCTGTGGAGCTGAGGTTGGAAGATTTCATTTGGAAAACTGACTTTCTCCTCTGCTAAACAAAGTCATTCTGTACTTGGATCCAGCACTTCTGAATCTGGTTGGCAAGTTAGTCAGCCAGATGGATTGTTTTGGGGAAAGAGGGGCGCAGAAGAAGTGGAGGTGAACCTGTGGAATGCTTGCAGTGCACTTATTTCTCATAAAAGACAGGAATGTCACTATTTTCTTGGGAAGTGTGGTAATGGATGGACATGTGATCTTCCAGGAGGAATCTTGTTTGAAACAAACTGATTTTTACTTTTGTCACTGGTATGTGGTGAAGTAATGCATGTCCTTTCTCAGTCCCCACACTTCAGATGAAGATGGCAGGCACCCCTGTCCTGCTTTTATCTCCTCTTAAGAGGAACAAGAATGACATAATTGTAGATATTGGTCAAAAGGAGAACTTGAACTTCTATGTGAGCATTGCAAGCTGATTACTTTTCCATCTTTGTTGATGTGGAACTTGGAGAGCTGCTTTGTTGTGAACTTTTGTTCACAAAAGTGAACTTCTGTTTGTTATTTTGCAGTAGAAAGAAAAGTTGTTTAAGATAATCATGGGATACCTTATGTATATTTATTACCTCTGTGTGTTCTCATGTGTAGGTGGCTATTCATAGACCATACTTGTAGCTCCATCTGCCGTACAACACTTTGAGTCAAAACATTTTACAGTTTGTTAAACACCCTGTTACTTTCTGTTTTATCAATATTGTACTTTGGCATAACAGTTTAGGTTGAATACGTAGTTCTGCATTTCTCACCTAGACTTGCAGATGTGTGTATTAGAGATGAAGTTACCATGGAAATAGTCTTGAAAAAAAAAGTGATGTTTAATTACCTACTTTTTAACAGTAGCTTTAGGAGGCTGCCTCCAGCAGTTTTGGATTTTCAGGAAACATTCTAGGAAGAAGTGGATGTAACTTTGTGTGTGTAGTAGGGACTTTTCATTCATTAGAAGATCAGGACTTAAATTGGATCTCAAAGTTTTATAGCAGATAAATCTCATGAGAGTGTCTGTTCACCGACTTGCCTGTTCTCGTGAACTTCTACATACACCACTAGCTCGAGTCCTTTTTTGTTTTCACCAGAGAATTAAGGACTTTGTCCCTGGCGGTTGCATTTCTGGGGTTGGTTGGTTTGTTTGTTTTGTGTTTTCATTCTGGTGCACATCTTGAAACTTGAAGAAATAATTTTGTGTGTTTGAGATTTCTACTGTCTGTCGTGTCAAGATCAATAAGCCAATGGATTCCAGCATCTTTCGCTAAGGAACTAATATAATACTGGCCTATCTCTAGTGGGGTAGCACAATGTGCTTAAAGTAAATTATGAAATTGATTATTTCACAAAAATAAAAGTGACTAGAGTCAATTTTGGAAAGACTTAAATGCACTTTACCAGTGACCTTTTGCAGCGTTATGTGATTTTTATGAGCATTCATTACACTGTTTCTGAAGCACAGACCCATGTCTTGTTAGAGGCCTTAAATAGCATAAGGGAGAAAAATAGCAAAGAAGATTACTATACTTTTTAGAAAAGGGAGAAATCCTGGATAGAAAATGAGATTCCCTGAAAATGGTGGTGGTGGGGGAACAATTCATAGTGGTCCTAGTAAGCAGCACAAAGAATTCTGGGAAACCCAGAGGGATTTAGAGGGGCAGGGATATTCCTACAAAACTGAGGGAAATCCTAGAAAGTAGTGTTGGAGTCTTCCTTGAAAGCCAGGAATTTCGAGGAGGTGCAGTCCTACACAGCTGTGTGGGGATTGTCAGGAAGCAGCATGGGAAAGTCCAAGAAAGTAATGGGGGGTGGGGGCTAGTTCTTAGGAAGTAATTGGGGGACTCATGGAACGCAATAGGGGAAGTTCAGGAGCCCAAATGTCTAGATGATGCATACAAGTAAGCTTGGTCATGATGTATTTATATTTTTTTTTCTTTAATGTCCTTTTATGTAGAGGTACTGGCCTGTCAAGAGATGAAGGTGCAAGTTATAATGCTCATGGAGAAATAAAAGGATAGATTCTTGCAGACAGAATGAGGAAGCAAGTCCTCAGTTTTATTACATCTGCACAGTTGCCCTATTTCTTGCATTGAGCAATGTGTTTTCAGAAGCAGCCTTTTATTTGGGCTGACTTGTAGCTGCCCATCTCTGAAGAGCCTTAAGAGTCTGAGTCAAGTTCACAGGTTACTGTGCTGTAGCTGAATCACAAGTCTGTCCATCTGAACTGTGATGACTGAAGCATATATAATATGTTTTTCTCTGTGTGGGCTACAGGTGAAGGGTACCATTTTGCATTATGCTTTGTTTTTGATAAAAGGATAGGCAGCTGCTGTAGAAGCTGTCCTGCTTTCAACGCTCTGCTTATTTTATATTCTAGTTGTATATTTTCCCCCTCCAATAGTGTTGGTTATAGCAATTTTGCAATCTGAGTCAGATTTTTTTTGATTTCCAAGGAAATCTAATTGCAAGTGTATTTCTCCATTGGATCAATGTGATCTAATCCAGTGGACTCCTGTGATCCAGTACAAGGTCATCAGTAGAGTTTTGTTGCTGGGGCTATAAAGACAGAGCAGACCAACTATTCTGATGGCAGTGGATAGTTGGGTCCACTTTGGGGTTATATGAAACTGTACTCTTAACACATGTGGCGGTGCATGGCATTTTAGCAAGCTGATTTATCTCAGCCATGTGCCTGAGACCATGATTACCTGTAGTCAGATTGCCAGAAGTGTTAAGGCCAAATGCTTCTGTTGCTTTTAAAGGCAGTTGTTGATGCTGAGTGTTGGGTACAGAAAAATAAAGACTGCTTCTGAAAAGTGGCTGTTGAATTCCTGTGTATCCGCTTGTTGTGAAGTGTCAAGGATAGCTGCCGGCCTCATAAACTTGTAGGGATTTTTCAATCTGAAAGTAAACTGAGAATTACTCACTTAATGCTTAGCGACATGTCTTTAAAATGCATTTCACCTCCTGAGTGTGAATATGGTGTTTGTAACCTGAAAAATAGAGGTGGCAGGAAAGAGCTTTCCTGTAGATTAATCCCAAAGGTTAGGGACTGAAAGTTTTGTTAAGATCCATGCGGCAAGAAACAGAAAATGGGGAAGGAATGGATTTAGAGAGCAAATGATAATTCTTCATTTCTTCCTGCATTCTGAAACTTGTTTTCATTTATTTGAAGACATTGTCAGAGAAAAAGTAATTATCGTTAACCAAAACCAATCAGGTTCTAGTCTTGAATGGGATCTGCCACAGCTGCTGGAAAGAAGCTGTTTCTTTTCAGATTCTGTGTCTAGTTGCAAATCCTGCCCCTTCACTTTCCCCCACCCTCTGAAGAGAAGATTATGCAGTGTTTTTCATAGGACAAAGTATAAATTATTGATTAATGTGCTGACTTACCTAGAGAGTTACATCAGACTGATCAGGTAAGCACAGTGTCATGTGCATAGCTAGAAGAAAGCAATGGAAGGAGACAAAAAGTCTTTGGAGGTTCAAGTCAAGTAGTAGGATTTGAAAATGAGCTACTTCTTGCTGCTAGGCTTTCATACGCTTTGGCGTGTGACATAGGTCCAAAGGCTTGTATTTTCTTACAGACTTCATCCTGCTTTTGTTTCACTCATCCTGACCCTGACTTTCTGTGTGTCCTGTGCATCTGTGCTGAAAGTTTGGTGTATTAACAGGGTAAAGATTCATCTTGAAAAATAACTGCCTCTAGGCTGCCACAGAGTGCAGTCAGATGTACAGCATATTGCCTCAGAGAAGGTTTCTTCCAGCAGATGGCATACAGAGTTTCTTTTAACAATACCAGCACCCAAGTGCAGTAACATAATATCTACATGTATGTGTGTGTGTGTTTACAGATTGCTTGCCTAAGCCGGTGCCAGTGGTTTCGAGAAGAGGAGATGCAAAGGAACATCCCTAGCTTCTTCAGCAAGGTGAGTGTATTCTCTAAGCTCCTGCTCCCTTCGTGTGAGGGATTTTCTTTTGTAATAGGGGTAGTGAGAGCAAACTGTACTCTATAAAAATTCTCTTATTTGATGGATTTTGTTCTCTCCAGTTTCTTATAACTGATTCTGAAAGAAGGGAGTCTTGTTTTATGTTTATACTCCTAGGACTTGAGCTGATCAGGCAATGAAAATAATACACTAGCACCAACTACAAAGTAAGTTA